GATTGCTAGTATCACTCAGCCCTCTGTGAACAGTAAACAGCCATCAGTGTGCTAATGATCCATTGTTAGGCTGATGGTCCTTCTTGAGCATGTGATCAGCTGGTTTTGGTTGTCAGCAGCAAAACTGGTTGATCCACCCTGAGACGGTGCTATTTAAGAGACTGAGCTGAATACAGCTCCTCAGACTGAAGAAGTCTCTCGGATGAGAGACGAAACATTTCTACATTTTTTTGTTGATTTGCTTTGTTTTGTTTTTTTGAATGTCCAGAGGACCAGATTTAACTTTTTTAGATTTGTCTACCTGGATTATTGAGCATGCATCAGGATGTTCTGTTGTATTGTTAGTAAAGCTTGCCAAGTTTATTGATTAGAAACAGATCAGCAAATCAATGTGTACATGTTTTGATGTTAAATTTTGATTCTGTTAAATAAATGACTGCATTTATTCTGATGGGTCAAAGATAAAATGGCGTCTCATGTCACTGATTAAACAATCTACTCACAGTTATCTCGGTCACATGGCATTAAATTTAACTCGAAAAAGAAGAGAATCCGTTGTAATTAACAATTAATATTCTTTGTGCTTGAACTAGCTTTAAGAATAATTAATTAGTAGTGAAGCTAACAGCAAAACTGTCCTGACATCACTACATCTTTAATGATCTTCTCCTTCTCCAGCGGATGGTTTATCAGTGTTGATGCCTCTAGCATAATTTAAAACAAAACAGTCAGACATTTTCTGCTTTTCTCTCAGTATCAGGTTCAATGTTTATCTTTGAAGCAACACTGTCCTGAGTCGTCTTGAGCTTGTGATGAAATCATGTTAAAAACATCCCTAATGCATCCATACATTTCTATGCTGATGACATAGTTGTTTATTGTTGAGCTAAAACTGTTGCTAAGGTTTTCCAGCTTTTGGAATCTGCATTCAACAACATCCAGACTGATTTGTTCTGCCTCAAACTTGTCCTAATTGCCAACAAAACCAAAGGGATGCTTTTTTCAAATAGGAAGTTGGTCCCTGCAGTTCTTCCTCTGATTTTATCCTCAAATAGTGCCCCGATTGAGTTTGTTGATTCCTATGAATATTTGGGTATCTTGGTCGACTCGCATCTCTCTTTTCAGCTTCATGTGGAAAACTTGGTAAAGAAACTGAAAGTTAAACTGTTTTTTTTTTTCAGAAACAGATCCTGTCTAACCCTGAATGTTAGAAAACGCCTTGTATCTGTGACTTTCCTTCCCTCAATTGATTATGGTGATATTATTTACATGAACGCTCCTACAAGAACCCTGCAGATGTTGGATGCTGTCTATCATGGTGCACTAAGATTTATAACTGGCTGTGATTATCGTACCCACCACTACACCCTGTATTCACTGGTTAACTGGACATCATTACTTTCACGCAGACTCTCCCACTGGTACATTTTCATCTTTAAATCACTTCTTGGTCTGCTGCCTTCATACATCTCCTCCTACATGTCTCTGCCTGAGTGCAGCTATGGCGTGCGCTCTCAGGACATTATTACCTGCAGTGTTCCCTCAATGCGGACTGAACTAGACAAGAGGGCTTTCTCCTACTCCGATCCTGTTTCCTAGAATATCTTACAAAAACATTTGAAGCTCTCGACCTTTGACCTCTCTAAGTGGCTTTAAGAAACTGTTGGACTCCTGGCAGGGACCAATGCAGACATGTTCCTGTTTTTAGTTTTCTACATTCGTCTTAGAATCTAGCTGTTTTTTTGTTACCTTTTTCTTTTAGCCATCCTATTTGTTAAAAAAAAAAACTGCAGTATGACTTTTTATAACTGTTTATTGTTGTCGCTGTTGTCCATTGTTGTCATCATTCTTTGTTGAAATCAGGTCTCTCTTGTAAATGAGTCCTCGAGGCTCAATGGGATTTACCTGTCTAAATAAAGGTTGAATTGAATGAATGAATGTTGAGCTTCCCTCGATGTTGATTGCAGTAGGTGCGGCTTGCCTTGGACCTTCTGGTGTGGACCCTCAAGCCTTGTGTCATGTCATTTCCTTTTGGAAACTCTTGGTGTCCAGTCATCTCCTTTCTCAGCACCTGTAATGAAAACATGCTTCCCTTCTGCTTTTCTTTTGTAACATCCTGATTCGTGCTTAAGAAAAAAGCTTAGTGAAATAGCTTAGTGAACTAGCTTAGTGAAATAGCTTAAGGAAATAGCTTAGTGAAAAGCTGTTAATTGCTTAATATAAAAGCCTTGATGTTAATAGTTTTTGAAATTGAGCTGTAGCTACTCAAAGTTTTGATTGTCATTCACCTCCCTGTTATCATTTCAATGCGGTGGTTGCATGACTGTGCATTTTCATGCAGTTCATGTGCATATTTGGGGCGACTATGGCTGAGTGGTTAGAGCAGTCATCCTCCAACGCAAGAGTTGGGGGATCGAATCCACCATCAGTCACATGCTGAAGTGTCCCTGAGCAAGACACTGAACCCCTTATTGCCTCTGATGTGTGTCCCATCAGTGTATGAATGTGATAAAGCTCTGATTAGTTTCTTTAGAATGATTTGTTCAAGTAGCTTTGTATAGATCTCGTAGAGTGCTGTACGAATGGGTAAATGAGGCACAGATTGTAGTGTAAAGCGCTTTGAGTATCTTGAAATAAGATAGAAAGGCACTATATAAGTACAGTCCATTTATCCATTTACCATATATTTGTTAAGGTTAGTAGTGGTAAGGATTTGCTAACTTTTAGATTTCATGCTTATATTAAGTCATTCAAATGA